CTGGTGCACATTTTCCCTCAGGTACCCTGCCCCTCTTCTAATGCCCCTTACCCTGACCCAAGTTCTTAGAGGAAATATTGAAGCTCTCAGGGAGTGTCTACTGCTAGGTCTGCAGACTGATAAAATTACACAGTTATAGTTAAAATGAACCTGCTCTCATTTCAGCTGGAGAAAAAGTATTCTGAAATTCTGTCTCCCTCCGCCCCCCAAAAAAAATCTCAGGAAAGGTGGAGCAAAAAGATAAGCTAGGAACTAAAATTAAAATCTTAAGGCAGGCACATTGTTTTATAAGTTGACATTTTAAAAAGAAGGGTATACAAAACCCGATCACAAAGAAAGGAAAATGACAAGCCAGTCTGTCTTGTGAATACACAGATGCCGAAATTCTAAACAAAGTATTAGCAAATCAGATTCAGTGATGTATAAGAAAGATAACATCACAAGCAGACTGGACTTGTTCCAAGAATGCAGGGTTGGTTTAATATTTGAAAATCAGTCGTTGTAATTCAGTGCATTAGCAGACTAAAAGAGGAAAAGCATACCATCCTGTGTCCTCAGCCTCCTCAGCCAGATCGTTCTTTCTGTGGGGAGCTGTCTGGTGCCCTGTGGGCTACTCTACCCGCTAGAGGCCAGTGACACCCACCCAGTCGTGATAACCAGAAGTGTCTCCACACATTGCCAAGTGCCCTGTGAAGGGTAACAGCACCCCCAGCTGAGTATCACTCTAATATGTAAAGAAAATGATTTGACAAAATTCAAAACCCATTCATTATATTAAAACCAACATGCTCTGGGGCGCCTGGGTGGCTCAGTGGGTTGGGCCACTGCCTTCTGCTCGGGTCATGATCCCGGGTCCTGGGTTCGAGCCCCGCGTCGGGCTTTCTGCTCAGCAGGGAGCCTGCTTCCTCCTCTCTCTCTGCCTGCCTCTCTGCCTACTTGTGATTTCTCTCTGTCAAATAAATAAATAAAATCTTTAAAACATACAACCTGACATACAACCAGGGGGACCTATAGGGGAGAAAGGATGGTCTTTCCAAGGCCTGGTGCTGAAACAATTGGGTATCAATTTAGAAAACAGTGAACCTTGACCACACCATACACAGATGTGAGTCATTCCAGCCTCACTGTAGCACTGAATCACAGAAGCCTCGCCAACCAGGATGCCTGTCCAATTGCTAGTGAATAGCAGGGAGCAGCCGGTGAATAGCAGAAGATATTCGCAACAAATATATCCAACAAATGATGTCTGGCTAGTACTGTATTTTTTAAAAAGACAACTTGATAGAAACCGGAACAGGTGGCACTTCATAAGAGAATCTCCAAACAGCCAGTGAAGTATTATGGGGAAAAACAAAAACAAAAACGCAACATTGTCTTCTTGGGAGCGGATGGAAAATCACAATGGGATGCTGGCCCACGCCTGCCGGAGAGGGAGAGTCAGAGGCGGGAGCCCACCAGGGAAGAGCACGTGAGACAGCTGTCTGTCTGTGTCTACTAAAGCACATGCATGTCTGTGACCCAGCCCGTGCCATTCTGTCTGTCTGCCCACTGAACCCGGCTGCAGACTGTCCCCTTGCCCGGAGTCCTCCTGTCTTCGGGATTAAACTAACAGCCAAGGCAGCTTGAGAAATTTGCACGTCTTCTTGGTTTAATCATACCAAAAAACAAATGCCTTAAACGGTCTCTAAATTTGTGAAGCCCTCAGGCCCTTCCATGGGCGGCCCCGGGAGTCAGAGGCTTTGGGTGGGCGAGCATTTGTCATTACCTCTCAGATCCCAGTGTGAAAAGCATTCTCCTGCACCACCGAGGTCAACCTTTTTTTTTTTTCTTTTTTCTTTTCTTTTAAGCCCAGCATGGGGCTTGAACTCAAAACCCTGATATGAAGACCTGAGCTGAGAGCAAGAGTCAGATGCTTAGCCAGTGGAGCCCCACAGCCACCCCACCCTGGTCGGCTCTTAATCACATTTGTGTCTACCACTTTTTCTGTTGTTTTATCAAAGTTTGTACTCATAGAGGGTCAAGCAGTTTCATAGGGTTATGAAAACACCCTCCTCCCATTTCCTACTCACTAGAAGACATGACTTTTTTCTTTAAGATTTGTTTATTTACTTGAGAGAGGGAGCAAGCCAGAGAGAGAGAGTGCATGAGCACAAGTGGGGGGAAGGGCAGAGGGAGAAGAAGACTCCCCGCTGAGTGGGGACCAGAGGCAGGACTCCACCCCAGGTCCTTGAGATCATTATCTGAGCCAAAGGCAGCCTCTTAACCCACTGAGCCACCCAGGCGCCCCTAGAGGACACAACCTTTAACACACCCTGTTTCTTTGTTACTTACCTTTATCCTCCTTCCACTGCCACTATCGACCTTTTACTATGTGTCCCATCAGTATTTCTTGTGTGGAGTAAATATTAAATATGCATATATTTAAGTCAAATTGAGACAGCTTCATTTTTCTATCTGCATCTTTTTCACTTAGCTTTATATTCTTTTGAAAACACAGTTTATAACATTCCATCTGTGAACGTGCCTCGATGTGTTTAACTACACCCTTATTGTTGGACATTTTGTGGTTTCTTATTTTGCTTGTTTTCTTGCTACTGTGAATACAAATATAATTCATATATCTGTGTGTATGGATGCTTATTGCTGTAGACAAATAGATTCGTAGACATATGCCTTTTCTCATAACTTCAGTTTTCTGTGGTTAATAACTGTCCGAGTTTTATTTGCTTGTTTCGTGTTCTTCCCCTTCTGGCGTGCTCTGAACTAGACTGGTTGCTCACTGCACCGCCGACATCCTGGGAATGTCACTGGCCTCCTGGGATTCCCTTTGGCTTTCTCTCATGCTCTCTTGGGCCCCAACTCCTGTGTCTTTTCTTGGTTTCCTCCCTTGTCCAGGGGAGCAGCCACACCTACCCCACCACCCTGAGAAAGGCGTACGTGGGAGATCCATTGTATAGTCCTCACGTGTCTTAAAAGCCTCTTTATTTTATCATCACCGTAATTTGGTTAGGCATAAAATTCTAGTTCTCAGTTCACTCAGAATTTTGAAGGAATCCTGACGTTTTCTTCTTGCTTCCAATGATATCATTGCTAAGAAGTCTGTTGCTATTTCAATTCTTGCTCTTTTGTTTTGTGACCTGATTTTCACTCTGGGAAGCTTTTGGGATCTTGGTCTGTGGCATCCTGAGATTTCAGTCTGTTTTGTTCTTGTTCATTAGGTTGTCCTCATGGTGACTTTCCACCATGCAAACTCTGGAAACTCAGAGCCTTCAGTTCAGTGACCTCTCCTTGAATTCTCTAACTTATTTATTTTGATGCTTTCTCCTCTACTTTTCTGATTTATCTTTTGGGAGCCTCATTACCAGATGTTGGCCCTCCCATACTTATACTCTAATTTTCTTGTCTTCCTTCTTTTTTTTTTTTTTTTTAAATGTCTATTTGTTTTACTTTACTCGTTTCTCTACTTTCTCTTGTAGGCTTTGATTTCATTTTTCAGTTCTGTTGTCCTGGTGTTAATTTATAAGAGCTGCTTTTGGTCCTCTGGGTTTTTTTTTAAGAGCATCATATTCTTTTTTTTTTTTTTTTTAAGATTTTATTTATTCATTTGACAGAGATCACAAGTAGGCAGAGAGGCAGGCAGAGAGAGAGAGAGAGGAGGAAGCAGGCTCCCCGCCGAGCAGAGAGTCTGATGCGGGGCTCGATCCCAGGACCCTGGGAACACGACCCGAGCTAAAGGCAGAGGCTTTAACCCACTGAGCCACCCAGGCGCCCCAAGAGGATCATATTCTTGACGGGTTCAGTGTCTCCTCATCTCTCTGAGGGCATTCATAGTCATTGTTTAGAAATTGTCATCAGTTCTCCATAGTTTGTTTTTGTTAAGTGCTTTCATTTTTATTTGTTCAGGTATGGCTTTCATGATAAAGGTTTTTCTCAGCCGCTCACTGATCCTTCTGCGTGTGCACATATTTAAGAGAGGAGGTTGAGAAGCTGATTAGAAATTCTGTGTGGGGTTTGTTGACTGTGGTCTTCATCTGTAGGGAGATCGTGTTGAGCTGCTCTGTTGGGGAACCTGTGGGGCCGACCCCTTTGGGCCCTTGGATGTTCAGATGCCCCAGGGAACATTTCCAGGTTTCTGTCCCTAGAGCATCTGTTTGGCTTCATTTACTCCCTGTTTCCATCACGACCAGCTCTGCTTCAAATCCCTCTCTTACCTTCTTTAAAAAAAAAAAAAAAATCTAGTTTTCTGCTAGGGTGCCTCATTCCTGCTGAACCAATTCTGCTCTTTCCACCGTCCACTTGCCACCCCTTCCAGAACTGCTTTGTATCTCCAGTGCCTGAGCAGGGGTGGGGGACTGAGGGGAGAGTCCCCTGTCCTCAGCAGGCTGGTCCCTGGCTTCCCGCAGCTGCTGGCTGAAACTCAGCTTCCCTGGGTCTTCGGAGTCAGTTACACCTGTCCTGCTGCCACTTAACTTCCCACATTTTGTGGCTGCCGTCTCCTTTCCTATTATTTTTGTCTTTGTGATTTGTGCCTTTAAAACAAATAATAAATCCCATTATTTTAGAGAGGTTTCCGGTGGAAAAGGACATAAATACGTCCATCCATGTCACTCTCTTTGACCAGAGCTGTCCCCCACTGCTCTTGGGGAAGACATCTGAGAGCAGTCAGTTGAGAACACTGGTCCAAGGAGGTTTGAAGAATTTTTATTTTTCTTGTCATTGACTCATCAGGAACCATAGGCTAGAGCCTGTAATAGGTTCTAAGACGCTTTCTTGGCTATAGCTTCTTGGCAGTGTTCTTTTTCATTCAGGTAAAATGGGGAGAGACACGTTGGTCCATGGGACCTCCCGAATGGCAGACTCTCCCCAACAGGAATTCTGAGGGGGCTGTGGATCCTATCGGGCGCTGGGTGCACATCCCGTCTTTGTCTTGTTTTCTCTCTTGAGCGAAATGACTGTTTGTTTTTTCCCTTTTATTCCCAATCCCCACACCTGTCATACAGGATGACGAGAGTCTGAAGTACCTGACGCACGAGGAAAAGGATGTCATCCTGTTTTTCGAAGAGACCATCGATTCCCTGGAAGACGACTTTGAGGAGCAAGTCCTGTGTGACAGCCATTCTCCGGGGTCTCTGGAAGAGTGTGCTTCTGGTCACTCAGAGCCGGGAGAGGTGATCGACTTAGTGCAGCCAGCACCAGAGGTGGGAGAACCGGAGTGCCTCCCGGCTGGGACAGCAGCAGCAGGTGAGGATCCCCTGTGTGTGGCCAGAAATGATGCTGTGGGGCTCATCGGGTTTTTGCAAGGTAGAAGCATGGTCTCGCTAGTTTGAGTGTCCAGCCCAGCAGATGCTCTCGTAGCGTATTAGGAGACAGCCTCTGAAGGGAGTTTCCGAAAGGGCCAGGATAAAGAATGACACTAGCTGGCCACATGAATCAATTCTTCTGTGAAGGAAGGAAGGAAGGAGAAAGGAGGGAGAAAGAAAGGAAGGAAGGAAGGGAAGGAGGAAGGGAGGGAGAGGGAGGGGAAGGGGAGAGAAAGAAAATTGGAAATGAATTCCAGGTGTAACAATTCATTCTACGAAGAAAACAGACAAGGTACTTATACTTTAGCCCTTGGGTTTGATCTCAGATTTTGAGCAATCTTATACCCCTGTTTCTCTAGCATGAGACTTTTCAAAGTAGGAGTATTTGAACTGAGAAGTCTGCTGGTTCAGGAAAACAGGAAAAGAGCAGACAAGAGTTTGGCTCAGCATCTAGTAGGTTGTGGGTTTGTAGGTTTGCTTGATTCCGGGTGGCCTCCAAGGAGAGGCATGAATTTTGTCTTTTGAATCCTGCGAGAAGACCAGACAGGATGGACGAGGTGGGATTGTCTGGCACTGTTCTTCCTGATTGGAAAAGATCCTTGAAATAAACTTCGGCAAGGAGATGAGGATTGGAAGGATGAGGGAGAAACAGAAGGGAAAGTGTTTTGGCTCTTACTACAAAATACTGCCATTTGCCACAAGCCTCTAGAAATATGTTTTCTATCGTGCGCGCACGGGTATGTGCGTGCGAGCTACGTGCGCAAGGCCGGGTGTTAACACCAGATTTCACAGACTGGGGTTCTCAGCTCCAGTGTGGAGCTTTGCCTGTAGCCATATCAGCAAAGAAGAGACTGAATAAGAATTTCCTGTTTTTATCACACTTCTTTGAAGTGTACTTCCTAACGTTAACTTGAACCTGCTGATCCTTTAAAAGTGCCAGATGGTATACTAGTGCCAAGGGAAACACTCACCGAGAGAAAGCCACCCCGCCCACCCGTCTCTACCATGACATTCTCAGGGCAGTGGCAGTTGCCTTCTCCGGCAGGTGCTGTGTGAGAGTCTGAGACTAGGGACAAATAAGATGCGGCGTGCAGTTCTGCCGCGAGGGACAGGTGTGTGGATGTAGGTGCCCACGGTGTTGGGTGGCCTGTGATCCACATCTGTTAAGGACATCGTAAAGGCTCAGAGGTGTATTGAGTTTGACCCAGGGCATCTGACACAACCAGCTGGTCTTCATCTAGAAAAACCTGATGCAGGGGTGCCCCCCAACCTTTCCGCCTCCATTTCCCCTCAGCAACACCCCCTCCTGAGGTGGGTTGTTATTCTGTCCTGGCCCATACCTCCTTAGAAGCCCACATGCTCTGTGTGCATCCCAGGGGCTGAGCCTTCAGACTGGCCTCTTCTACCATCCCTGACCCGTCATGCCTTCTCATCACGTGGTGGTGAGACTCACGGAGGAGGTTCTCCTTCGCTGGGCCAGGGAGGTTAGCTGACAGGATGCTGACATTGCTGCTGATGTTGGCTTTATGTCCCTTGGACACCCTCATGAATCCAGTGGGAAGGCAGTGGGATGTATTTATTTTTACCTAACATGGTACCTGATGAGGATTCTGCTTCCTTTTCAGGGACTGGCCCTGTTGGGAAGGAAGACATTCCTGTCCTTGAGGGCAGGAAACCAGAAGCCGGGGATCCTCCCTCGCCAGACCCAGCAGCTCCGGCCCCTCCTGTGCCACCCTCCCAGCCTGTGGCCACAGCAGCCGCGCCCCCTAGGAAAGAGCTGCTGGCCACGGCTCCCCCCTCAGAGCACCCCAAACTGCCCCGCTCTGTTCCCACTCCCCTGGTAATCGCTCAGAAAATGTCTGAGAAGGTGGCAGGGAATGAAGGGCTTCCGCCTGCGTCCCCCTCCAAGGAGAGCAAGCCAGGGGACTGGAGGACACTGCCTTCGGGGGTCCCTCGGCATGGGGACCCTTTCCTGTGGCACAAACACACAGCCCAGCCCGCGCCCAAGATCCACCGCTTCCCCAGCAACATCAGCGTGACCAACAGCGCGGGGAAGGAGTTCAACAAGACCATCTCCAAAGCAGCTGTCAACGTGCAGGAGCGGAAGGCCCGGGTCTTGGCTAACATCAATGGTGTCTCTTTCCTGGCCGCAGGGGAGGTGGAAGACCGGGCCCCCAGGGCTGAGGTTGCCGAGCTAGGGACGCGTGGCCAGAGCAAGCCAGGCCCCATCCACGATGCCGCGTCCACGCGGGTGCGCAGCCACACGGGCACTCTGCAGTCCAGAGGCGTGCAGACGGAACAGTGCCTGCCATTGGCCAATGGCTTCCAGAGCATCCACGACGTCCTGAAGAGTGAGCCCAGTGCCTTCGCCTCAGTGGGGAAAACTGTCACCTTCCGTCCAGACCCGGCACTGGCCGGCAAACTTGCACGGCAGAATGCCAGCAGGAGCCTTTACGAGCACCAGCCGCCGGACTGCAGCCCAGATGCCAGGAAGCGGTCGGGGTCGCTGCCCAGGGCTGTTGGGTTCAGGCCCCAGGGTATCACTGTCCAGTTCTCCGGTCGCGGCTCCACGGAGGAGGCCCGCCGGGAGGCCCTGCGCAAGCTCGGCCTTCTGAAGGAGAACTTGTGATGGAGGGTGGGGTGGGGCTGGAGAGGCAGGATGGCCAGGCCCATGTGGCCTAACACAGATGTGCCCACGTGAGGAGCAGTGGCCACGGTCCCAGGGCTGTGCCCCGTGGAGGACAAGAGATGACAGGGGCCAGGACTCCGCGGTCCAGGCGGAGGGAGTGCGGACAGGAAGTGTGCCCGACTCCGCTGCCAAGTCCGAGCAGGGCGATCCTTCTGGGAGAGTCCGGCCTCCTATCTTGTCTTCCTTTTTCCTGGAGTTCAAAGAAGAGCCCTGAAAACCCTAAATGCCATATCTTTTTTTTTTTTTTTTTTTTTTTTTTTGGATTTAGAAGGAAGGGGATTGGATCTGATCTGTTTATTCTTCAGTCTCTGATCTAGACTCTTATCCCAAGGAGGGGACACCCAAGGCATTTATATCTCTTACACTTAGTTATCCATGAAGGGGATTGCCTCTTCCTTTTCTGAGAAAATAAAACAGAAATGCCCGTTCAATCTTTATAACATCTCAGAGCATCTCCCTTGGTTTTTCTGTTTGTTTCTCAGGGGTAAATGTTGGTGTGTTGGCCCTAGATGTGCCTTTGTTTCTGGATATAATTTGGTTTACCCATGTGTTGCTTTGGGTTTTTTAAAAATTGAATATTGAAATGAACCCTTCAGAGTATGATTTACTGTAATTTTGAGTTACAGGAATGGAATGGGAAGGCTGGATTTGGAAAAGGTGGTAATTTTCAGTAAGCAAGTCCCATCAGACTATGGGGGCTTTGTCACTGGGAGATGTGGGTGAGCGTGTATGGTGTATATACCTGTCTGTAATGTGTGTTTATGGAAACTTGTGTTCACACGTACACACCTTCATGAGTCTACATCACAAACATTTTAAGACGCTATCATGTAACTACAGGATGTAAGCCCTTCCTACTCTCTCGATGGACACAGCCGTCCCAGCTACAATGGGAGAGAGAGAGACTGGAACCTTTAAGGACACATCTCCATCATCTCCATAATCAGAGTGCTTCTTACTCACCCATGGGTCACTCTGTACCCAGGGAAGGTAATATTTCAAGTAGGCTTCCAGAGAAGCAAGATAGTTTTTTTTTTTTTCTTTTTTTAAGTGAAGAACATTTTTAAGGATGTATCCCCTAATTTTAACCTGATTTCAGTTTATCACCCAATTTTACTTGTGCGTGTTGCAAGGTAGCTAGTGAACAGAAGGAAACGAAAACATTCTTGAGATCCCTCGTGTTCTGTGAGCAAGATCTCAGGATTAGTTTTAAAGGGGAACGAAACCCCAGCAAGCTAGGTTCCACAGTTCTGAGCACTGCTTTTCTCCCAGACTGTGTGTTACATGCTGAGTTGTAGCCACAAGCATGTTATTATTAAAACTATTTAAGGCTGGAGTCTTAAGCCTCTAAAAATAGACTGGGAAGGGCCCCAACTGCAAGTCACGCCCTTTTGTTATTATGTCTCAGTGAGTGTCACAGACTTGGTTGCCTCCTGTTGAGTATTATTTAAATTAAAACTTTTAAATGTGCCGTAAAGCACATCTTTCGTAGTGTTCAATTTGCCTTGTAAGTTACATAAATTGATTGTCAATTTTTCCAGAACTACAGTATTTAGTGTCTCATCCAGCCCATGTCCTCCTAAAATAATCTTAGAGATTCTCGATGGTCTTAATTTAAATAGGTGCTTTGATTTTATAGGTTTTCAAAATAGTTTTTATTGTGTTCCTATTTATGTTGGATTTTGTTTGAAGAATTCTTGAGGGCTGTATTACCCTTTCATAAAGTGAGATGCCATATACAGTGTTTAAAAGAGGGTCTTGATATGGCTAACATTTTAAATATCCTTTAAATATGAGAATTCTCTCTTGTATGCTTTCCTATGACTTCACTGTGATTAAGGTCAACATGACTATAAGTATATTTGTTCTCATGATGACGGTTTTGAAAAATAAATTTAGAGATTTTTCTTAAGTATAAACAGCTTTGATTTTGCATTTTATACTTGCACCCAATTATTTTCTTTTAAATGGCTATATCCTTCCCTTGTATTTATTCATAATTATACTGGCTATTACTCTGGCCATTTCTTGTGCCCAAAACCCTAGTAATTAAAGGCATGTGTTTTGTACAAGATTCAAATGATAGCTATTAATGCTGTAACCTGTATACGTATCATGTTAATAAAATCATCTAGTTTGGGGGCCCCTGGGTGGCTCAGTCGGTTAAGCACCTGCCTTCAGCTCAGGTCATGATCCTGAGGTCCTGGGATGGAGCCCCACATCGGTCTCCCTGCTCAGCGGGGAGTCTGTTTCTCCCTCTGCCCCTCACCCTGCTCGTGCTTTCTCTCAAATAAATTAAATTAAATTAACCTCTAGTTTGCAGTGAGGCATTAGTTCCCTTGTCATAACTATGTGATAGGACATTCACAAAGGCTCATCTTCAAGGGAATGTTAAGGATCACATTTCAAAGCAAAATTGTAGTGAAAAGAAAGGATTAATCTCAAGTGCCCAGGGTTTTTTTTTCTTTTCAAAGTGATACCTGTAAATCACATTCTGTTTTTATGAAACTCTTTATCTTAATACTTAAAAATGGGGGGAAAGAATTCCTGCTTTTAGGAAGGTATGTACACATGCCATTGAAGTCTCCTTCGCACACAGTACTACTTCGCAGATACCACAGCAACAATCCACACACAGTACTACTTTGTGGATTCCAGAGTAACAATCCACACATAGTACTACTTCACAGATTCCAGAGAAACAATCCGCACACAGTACTACTTTGTGGATTCCAGAGTAACAATATGTACACAGTACTACTTCACAGACTCCAGAGAAACAATCTGCACATAGTACTATTTCAATAGCAGAGTAACAATCTATACACAGCACTACTTCACAGATTCCAGAGAAACACTCCACACACAGCACTACTTCGTGGATTCCAGAGAAACACTCCACACACAGTACTACTTCATGGATACCAGAGTAAGAAGCCACACAAAGCACTACTTACCAGATTCCAGAGAAATAATCCACACACATTAATACTTCACAGATACCAGAACAACAATCTGCACACTGTACCACTTCATGGACTCCAGAGCAACAAACCACACACAGTACTACTTGTGGATTCCAGAGAAACAATCCAACACAGGTATCTGCTTTGCAGATACCAGAGTAACAATCTGCACACAGTGCTACTTCCCAGATACCAGAGTAACAATCCGCACACAGTACTGCTTTGTGGATTCCACAGTAACATGCACCCACTGCAGTACTTCACAGATACTAGAGCAACCATGTCTGTTCCGGTCCCTCCTCCTCCCTGCTCCACTGTGTGGCTTGTCTGTGCTCCCTAATCTGCACAAACTGGGAGAAAGTCTGATCTCTGCTCTTGTCCCCCAGCTGGCATTGTTCTCTTTCAAGATCCGTTGAGGAGAAAGACGGGGTGTCCTGAGTCTGTCGAGGTACACACGGCGGGGTTGGGGCCTGAGCCTGCTCCTGCTCTTCCTTCCCTGCGCAGCACACACGGTCATGTGCGGTATAAGATTCTTCACCCAAAATTCCTCGTGGGGGGCTCCTAAGGTCAGCTCCCCATTTTCATGAAGAGGTTAGTGGAGTTGATAAGTGAGGCCTCAGGAGACCCTCAGGACTGGCCTTTTTATTTGTAAAGAAATCGGAAAGGTATTCTCTTCCTTAAATTCCCACAGCTCTGGCTATGAGGCCTTTGACCCTTCAGAGGATTTGGTGGTGATGTTTTTGATACAGGTGATCTAAGAAATCAGTTCTTGATGTTTATTCAAGAGGAATGTAGAGAGAGAAATAAGATAAATATGAAAACAATACACTCTTATCGAGAAAGGCGTCCCTGCTGGGCCAGGTCCCTAATGGAGGCAACAGAATGAGGTATTGTTTCCCTAGGAGTGTTTTTGACCACCTGGAAAAGGTTTAATACATTTCTCTCCCTCAGCTGTCCCTTGAGATCTTAAATGTTTGTCATCAAACCCTGGTGTTCCCTGAAGGCTCAGAGCTGGTTTGCTGTGTTTTTCCTCTGCTCTGGCCTGTGACCCCCACGGCCTGCCTGGTGGGGGAGGGGTAGGAGGAAGGGGAGGTGTGTGCGGAACGCTCACCTGTGAAAGGTTCGTGTTGTCATTGAAATGACGAGCCACCAAACAGGTTCTGTTTGTTCTCTTCACAGCAAGGCTTTCTCGGGCTTTTAAGTATGGGGGAAAGTTGGCATATCCTTTTCTAATCTACTCGCTGGACAAGCCCTGCTTTCAGATATCTGAGAAAAGAGAAGGCAGGGCTCTAAGCCACCAGTCCTGGGAAGATGGGGACTGGAACTGCATTGGAGGGCTGGTGGGGGGAGTGGCTGGGCCAGGAATGCAGCCACCTGCTGCCTCAGCTGACCAGTCCAGTGCAGCCCCTGCTTCCCTGCCCCTTGCCAGGTTCTCCCTCTTCCCTAAGAGCAGCAGTCCTGCTAGGGGAAAAATCTGTCTGTCTGCATGAGAAAATGCAGGATAATGACCTAAAGGCACTTCCCAGCCCACGCTTTTCAGCATAAAAAGCGTCAACCTCTGTGTGCGAGGTTTGTGGTCCTTCTAAAATGTCTCTTTATTTAAAAACAGATCATGAAACTCTTCCCTGTGAATTCCAAATTCATGAGACTTAAGAAAGGCCAACCGCTGCCGTCCAGCGGGCTCACTCGCTGTCCTGGCTACTGTCCTTCTAGGGAGGCCACTGATGACCCCAGAAGCCAGGCAGTGCCCACCCCATGCCATACCATCGGCGCACCAACCGCGCCAGCACTGCTCTGTAAGGATCTCCTTTAGGCCCGCTTATCATCTGAACCGCAGGAACTTTCTATTCAACAATGAGCTAACAATGATTTTCAGAAATGGCCCAGAAAGCCAAAATGGCAAACACGGGTTCGTCAAGCTGGGCGGGGCACACCACAAATAGCCCTGAGTCAGGGGCAGGGTCCACCAACGACCCCCCCACCACTCCGAGAACGGTGTGATCCTGGGGCGCCTCCTAGTGTTGCTTTCTGCCTTCCGATTCCCCCAGTGCCCAGATCTGTCTGCCATGGGCTCCCAAGGGCCCTTCTGCTTTGGGGGCCCGCCAGGATCTAGAGCAAAGCCGAGTAAGAAGGAATCTCCCTGTCTCCATGGCCGAGTTCGATGTAGGTTTTCCTGATTCCCACTGCTTCTTCAAGACGCTTAAGCCAGCCATTTCCCCAGCTAACCGTGTTTCTGAGGTTCAGAGAATATTTCCAAAGGGGAAACCCACCCTCAT